AGTTTCCCAGTGCTTCAACGTTTACCAAAAAAACCTGCTCTTGTTCACTCATCTGGTCAGAGAGAAGTCACCCTGAAGTCAAAAATAATATTTTTGCAAAATGCCTAATTGGTTACCTGCAGACAACAACGACAACGATCACCATGACAACAATCACGGCAAGAGAAACACCAATAATGATCCACTTGGGCTGTGACGTATTGATCCGGGACTCACGTGGGGGAGGTGAACCTCCATCTGCATGGTATGCCCGGATGTCGTAAACTTCTTTCCGGAGTTGAGATGACACAGCTGCTGCTGACATTTTCAGAGCCTGAAGTAACGCATCCTGAGTCGTGATGAAGTTTTCTTGCTCGTTGGAACGTAGGATGACGTAAAAGGCTACGATTAGGTCAGCTTGATCTTCTCGTGGAAAGTGTTTCAAAAAATGCACACTTGCTGTTACGCTCCCACTGTTGATTGATCTGTGACAAATTGTGTAAGGGAATGTTATTGTGTGTTTAATTCTTACACGATATTTCTATAGATATGTATCTCATGTTTCTTGTTACCAAACCCACATAGTAAGATATTCATCAATAAATCTAGACTCACATTCGGGGCAAACGACCCACATTGTAGGAGCCTAATTACTGTATCTGGTTGATGTAGAGGAAAGCAATTAGGAGTGTTACTTGGCTAAATGCCGCGCTCGTGTTAAAGCTTGAATTTGATATTGTTATTTAAAACTTGTTTTCAACAACAGAATACTCTACATGGAAAATCAAAACGTATTCTGGTGTTTAGGACAGTAATTAGACTAATTAAGGCCCTCAAAACCATCTTTATTGAACTATCAAGTCAGGGCTTAAGCTTACGAGTACGCAGGGTACTTGATGTGTTACCGACCTGTCGCTATTATCAAGCTCACCTTTTATTTACTCTGGAATGATAGCAATTTTCCTCTTGACAATAATCTACAACGACCTGGGCAACAATTTCCTTAAACGATTGAGACAGTCCATCCTCCCACTGTGAAAAGAAAGAATAACAACATGTTTACATTGTCTTTGTCCTTCTCCTTTTAAGTCATTATCTCTTTAATTCGTTTTGACTTACAGCTTTCCTTC